GCCAGGGGGCAGCGCCCCCTTGGACCCCCGACAGTCCGGCATATTGTTCTATTCATCATCTTTAGTAATAGTTGTTAGTGTTAGTCTACTTGTTCATGAGTGCATGCTTTGATTGGAAGACATTGGACTCTATAGGAGAGGAGGAAGGGGTGAGAAGATTCCCTTGAAGACCCATTTAGTGATGGGACATGATTGGATTATATATGTTCTTTCTTAATTGTATTTTGGGAGTTTTGATAGACTAATATTTTGTGGTTTTGTACTTTGGGACATGATTTTATTGCATTTATTTTCTTACTTTCCCCTAATTTTAATTGTCATTTAGATGTTTTTATTGTATGATAGAATCTTACTATTTTTTACTTGCTAAAACCCTTAAATTCTCATTTATGCAATTCTTCGTCGGTGAGGCTTACGCCTCGCCTCACGGACGAAAAATGCCTCGAGGCTTATTTACGCAATTTTAAACGTTGGCTCAATCATTTTGAGCTGAAATTTTAGCTCATTTATGAGCTGGTCTTTAGTTCATTTATTGAACTAAGGGTTAGCTCATTATTAGCTATGATTTTAGTTCATATTTATCTTATATTAAATATACTTTTTATGCTTTTTATGTTTTTAATTATGTAGGTCTCTCGGAATTCCAAACCGGCTTTTGGAATTCTAAGAAATGTCTTTTCCCATGCGGTGGCTCCTTGGCTTCCTCCCTTGGGCTACTGTTTTCCGTGCCTTGCCTCTTGGATTTCCAGCCGGCCGCTGGTTTTTCGCGCCTGGGCTCTTTCCCATGACTGTGGCGCCTTGGTTCTGGGCGGTCTCCTTGGCTCCCATGGTTGCCTCTTCGGTTCCTTGGCTTGGGCTATTTTTTTTATAAAAAGCATTTGGGTTTAATGCTAAGTCTTTTAGAATTCCTATGTGAATTTATTATGAGTCTCTTTGTATTCCCCTTTCATACCTATATATATGGGGGGTATTGTATTGTTTTAAAAAAGTGGAATGATATGTTATTTTTGGAAAAGCTATAACATGCTGGTTTGCTTGGATAAGCTTGCGAGCTTTGTCCGTCTTCTTTCTCATCCCCTCCGGAAATCATGCGGGCTCTTTCCACCCTTCTTCTTGGCTTCTAATCTCTTCGTCTCTCCGCAAGTGCCACTCCACCTGTATCTTTCTTCCAAGTGCAGCAACTTTAGGGTGTCCTAGGTTTATGAGTCAAGGTTTGTAAGTCGTCGTAATTTTGTGTATTTTGTAATTTCTTCTTTTTAGTTTTATTGTAAGAGTTTGTTCTTCCTTTAGTTTTTCCCCTTCTTCTTCGTCGTTTCGTGGTTTAGTGGGTCGTCGTTTCGATGATTTATCTCCTGTGCGGGCGAGGAATATAGGCACCCCTATATTTCTTGCCCCCACCACATAGAATGTTAGCCTTCCGAAAATCTTGTTAGGAGAGTAGATGTATTAAATCTGGCTTATGTTAAGAAATGTAGAGGTATATCTAAAGAGACTTGACTAGAAAATATTAGAAATAACTTTTTTATTAGATTTAAAGGAGAATTTGACTCTTCATAGGACACAGTGAAGAAAAATGATTCATGTAGTTGATCAAACATAATGGGATAAAGGCTTGTTGTTGTTATAACTATTTAACCTTTATACTTGTCTTGATGCAGAACTCCTCACCTTCCCTTTTTGCTATAGAGTCTAGCAGCTTTCGTTCCTTTGGCTTATGTTGGTACAATGACTTACATTTGTTGCAATCATTTTGCAATTGGCAGAATTTACGGCAAGTATTCAGCTAGTGCTTGGCCGTGGAATTGATTCAGTGTTTTTGAGGTTATCTTAATCTAGTAGTAGTCATGGTGCTCTTCTTTGACAAGCTTGTAGGGAGATTTTTTTAAATGCGAGATTTCGTTATATTATTAATGGGCTTTTGTGGGTTTGTGGTTATGTCAATTTGGTGGCAATAAGAATCACAAGATGCTTGTGGATAGGATTAGTTGGCTCCAGGCGGTTCTTTTTGCTATTTTTAGAAAAATATTCGAAAGAATTTTATTATTAAAAGCCCACTCATCCAATTCACCCATCACTCCTGACATGACAAATAAGCCCACTCATCCAATTCACCCATCACTCCTGACATGACAGTTGACACGAAATAGAATGGACCAATATCCACCATTCATTCATAGCAAACGCAAAGCATCCAATGTATACACCTGTAAAGCCATATATATATATACACACACACACACCCCCCAATGTATTCACCCTGAAGATGACGAGAAAGATACTAAAACTTTACACTCATGTAGAATGTCTTTACTTCTTTTCTTACTATGCTTCGTAGCTTTTGTCTATCTAGTATAATTGCTCTATACAAGGAAGAATACTTTCTACATGATATTAGAGCATGCACAATAACCTAGTGTCATCTTCATGACGGTGCAGTCATCGACATCCCAAGTAGCAGAACACCACATAGAAAGCTTCTCCGATCTTCTACAAATCCCCTCCCTGAAACTGATTCTCTTCAAAATTAAGACCATCATCTCATCCAGTTAACAAACAAAAACTACCCACTCTGGTGTTCTCAGGTCCTAAAGCTCTTTCCAGCCAATGCATTCACAAGCTAGCCGGACAGCTCGATCAACAAACCTCCTCGTCTACTTCAACAACCAGACAACACCATAATCCCAAACCCCATACATAGTCAATGGATCGAAGTAGCCAAAACCTTGCAGCAGCTATCTGTTCAACGATCTCACCATCGATCCTACCCTACGTTCCCCTTTTTGACAGCTTCTCCGCCATCTGCTCCGCAATAGAATAGTGATTACAGGCTACAAATCGCTTTAGGGTCTTACAGTTGAAAAATAAGCTGCATAACATCTCGATG